GGTTTCATGTCAATTGTTTGCTCGTATACGGGGGTAGATAATTTGTCCCCTGGTAAATGAAAAATATCAGGGAATTTAGCACAAATTTGCTCTATTGATATTTGTTCCTCAGTATTTAATTGTTTTAAATTTAATAAGGAAAATAAAGTTTTCACCCTTTCCGAATGAACTGCAGATATACTAAATTGACAAATATAAATTCACTTAAATAATTAGCTCTAACTGGAAACCAATTCAATTTAACGTCTGTGTCACGAGTATTTAAAATACGAATAGGCATTTTTTCCATTTACTGGTTTGCTTATACTGCTCGCTAAATAAACTCCATCACTTAATTGCTGATTTTTCATCTTTTAATTCTGTATCAATATAATGTGTGGATTCGCTACGCCTTGGTATAATTAAATAGTTCCTATTGTAATTTGGCTGATTATTCTCAAATGATATTGTTAATAGTTCATTGTTGTTAACAAATAATTGTAAGTGTCATTTTCAAAGTTTAAAATAGCTTTATATTGTGACAAAAAGTCTTGACCAACAATGCCATCTGTCTTACACGGTAATTTTTTAAATACTATGAACTTATGAGGAAAATCATACTCGTTATAATTAAGTATTAAATGCACATAACCCTCAGTACAAAGATCCACCTATACCTTTCACGCTAACTCTTTCTTTATGGTAAGGAATGTGTAACCGCTCTAAACATTCCAAACTTATTCCCGATATAGATGCGCCGGTGTCTATTAGCAAGCTATGTTTATAATTACAAATGTTAAAAGACACTTTATTTAAATTGTTACAAGAAAGGATTATATGATTAGTCACGAAAAAAATGATTAAGTGACTCATTATTCGAAGTGCCTGTTGTTGCTATCTGGCTATTCTCTGTTATAATGTTGACATTCCTTTGCGATCTGATACCCCTGACTCTGCCGCAGTTACTACGCGATGATTTGTTCGCTCCGCGATAACGATTGCCATAATTACTACGGTAGTTTTATTATTATAGCCATACGGTACCTGCTGCTGTAGACCTCGATGCCCACGTGAATGGTGTGCTGCAAATCTACGTTGACCGCGAAACCCTCTGTGAGGTCTCTGAACCTGGTATTGCTGTCTATACGTACCCATGATTTCTGATGAACCACTAGGAATAGGTGCCTCTTCATCTTGGGCCGCCTGGATTGCCTCTGTCAAGAAGTAAAATTACGCGCGGCAATTACGGTACTCAGACGACGGTCCCTCAAACCATCAGCAAACCGTTTGATTGCTAACTTCTCGTTTATGGGTTTTAGTAAATCATATTTCTCTGACTCACTGTCGGCTTGAGATAATGTCAAATTTACAAAAAGATCTGATATTTCTTTCCATAATCGGTTACTGTTCTATTATTTTGCTTACAGTATTGCAGTTTTGTTTGTATAGCGACAAAACTTTTTTGTGGTAGTAACAATTTTCGCATATCCTTTATAAGCTCAGTAACTGTCTCGTATTTTGATGATAATAACAATTTTGCACGCTGGGATAACCTGCTTTTCAACACAAACTGAATTAACTTAGTTTTACATGTTGGTTTTTCTAGCACAGAATTATAGTACTCGATACTTTCGATCAGCTGTTTTGTGTTATCAATGCTGTCATCCATGACAGACAATAAATGCAACGCAGTTTTAAGATCAAATGAATCCGTAGTCATGATTTCTATCGAGGGAGTGCCCTCGCCCGCTGTAGTACAAAAGGAAATTACTTCTAAAAATAGGCTATCAAACTCTCTACAAATCCTTGTAATTAAATTAATCTCAGAACTTGCAATAGATTTTAACTTTTCTTTATATAGTTCTAAAAACTTATTGTACTTTATTAAAATATTATCTGCCTCTTTTCTTTTCGTCTCTAATATTTTTCCTTGTCGACGGCTGGGACCAATTTTTATTAAATAGTTTCTTACAGATTTTAACTCATTTAGTATCAGACTTAATTCTTCAGCCATAACAGGTTAACAAAACATTTAACGCAAACTGCGACTAATGTAAACTCAGCGAGGATACACATAATAATAATTTTACTTAACATTATACTCTTATAATAAACAAACCTGTACTAACATGTTGTAGCTCTTAACATAAAACGTTACTGTCTCTATTTACTTAATAGTACGCCACTGATATTGAACCGATCACATCACTACACTAGCACTCTACACATATTTTCGGACGACACCGACACTACACTACAGCTTACGACGTTGAGAAGGCTCTGTCGTGAAGATACCATCTGCGTATTGTCACCTTCCCAGCTATACATCAAATTCCCTGGACTTGTCAGTTTGTGGCATAACAGTCAAGTGTGCCTGTTGTCTGCGTAGGATACTGGTGTATCGTTTTAACGTCATTTCGTTCACACAACGCTGTATCTTCCTCTTGTGACAATGGTTATACAGCTTGTATGTTACCAGCAGCAATCCAATCAATAAAACGGTGCAAATAACCACCAGAATTACATTAGTGGTCTCATGAAGTTGCTGCGCACGAGCCGTATTGCTACCGACTCCTGCTGTCTGGGCAATCACCACTTGTTCTTTGACTTCTTTGGAACTAGAACCGCCCATTTTTCACCAACAACGACGAACAAAGATGCGTAACAATAAGACGTGTTGTATACGCCGTGAGCTCCGATGTTATTCTATTCATTTTAAAGACGCCTGTAACTTTCCACTTATTGTTTAGAATAATTTGCCCGTATATGGAGCACACGCGCTCGGCCCCGTGCCGTGCTATGATCCTGGCAGGGTCGCCATGTAAGGTTGGGTGTTTGGATGAGTGTAATGAAACCAACGAGCTCCGAGAATACACTGAATATATTGAATATAGGATGCTTAATATATATCTTACGACTACTACACCACAATGTATTGTATTCTCTATCATTTGTAGACTCCTAGAAGATCTTGTTATTATAGCGGACTAGCTGCAGAAAAGATATATTTATACGAATATAATATTGTATGAATGTTGAATGTTTGAATGATTGTATAGAAATAAAGAAGTTTTGATTACTGTATAATATTATTCTTACTACCTACTTAAATTGGAATATGACTGCATTCATAAAGAACAAAAAACACAATCGATCGATTATAATTGATTGGACATCCCTATTTCACTTTAGACACGACATGACATTGCACTCACTGATTTATTTGTTTATTATATTAGGCAAAGGCATTTCACATTAGGCGAAGATGGTGATCTAATGTTATTAATCGCGTTTAATTCTTAAAAGTACATTTTGGAATACAGCTAGTCCGTGATTCAGAAGTATTTGGAAGTTATATAATAAAATAGGGGATTAATTATCGTATATTCTGATACTCTTAATTGCACAGGGCCATTTTTAGCGACATTGCCTTTTCTCAGTTTTGTATGCCAACTTCCTACTTTATTGAAATAACAATACAAGGAGTAACCGAATTGAATGCAAGTTCCTGCAGGTTCTAGTTGGGGTAGGTATATGAAAATATAACAGACCTGTGGGCTTACTCTTGAATCCAATACCGATCGTTCGACATTGGTATTGTCAAATTTCGTACTCTCGAGTTGCAACACCAGCGCCCATTGCATCCTTATTTTGTGGATATTGAATGAACTAAATGGTACTGAGTTTGGTTTTATTTTCCGTACTCTGAATGCTATTTTGACAGCTACGCTTGGGGTTGTAGTGTTGACATTGAATAATTATTTATTTAATAATTGAGATTTTATTGGCTTGAAATTGCATTGACATTGAGATTGGTTACAAGAGTAAGCAATCAGGTTCTTGATACAGTGTAACAAGTGTAAGGGCTACTTAAAAAAACAATTTTGATGCAAAATAAATACCTATATTAAAAATAAGTTACAAATATTTTAGATTATAGTGCTAATTATATTAGCACCCTCTACTTTAATGACAAGTTTTCCAAATCACAGATTGGTAACCTTACACTAAAAGTATGTTATGGTTAGTGTTGAATGCTAAATTTTAGTTACATTGTACATACTTGGTACATACGAAGTTACAACCGGGCAATAAGGGCCGGTTCCATAATGTCCCGGAAAGCCTTTATGTGCCAGATAAGAATTAATGACGTAACTAACTACTTATATGAAGGTGGTGAAGCAGGCGCTTACACTAAGTTCAATTTCCAATCACAGTTAGTAACTATAATTACAACAAAATTATTACTCTGCTTTATTAAGGCTGAACTACGGTAAAACTTGTAAAGTATCATGATAAGTTCAACTGATGACATTTTTACAATATGACAAAATACTTTTATTAATAAGTTACTTAATTTAAACACATAAAAAAGATACGTATGGAGTATTTCACAACAACCATGAAGTACGTATACAAAATTGCTGGTGGCAATGCAAATAGGTCAGCTTAAGACTAATTTCAGTGACCCTTCTGTCTCTCTCTTATAACTAATTCTTATAAAGCTTAGTTACAGGAAAGAAGAAGTTTTGTGCGTTGCCACGGTAGAGTGTGGCCTGGTTAACAATGACCCTTCTACTAAGGAGATTAGAGACACGTGTGTATTATGTAGGTAATACCGAAAAATTATTTGACAACTCATAACTAATTATATATAGATATAATGCGTTGTGAGATAATCTCAACAATTTTCTTGTAATGTCTTTGATCTGCCAACCAGTGCCTTTAGCCAAAAGCCACTTTACGCATGTCTACAGAGAGAGAGAGTAGAAAACTAAATGTATGGGGATGACACTGACAAGTGTCAAAATTTACGTCAATCCCATATAATTTTGTTCTCTATTCTACATGTAGACAAGCGCTAAATGGCATTTGGCTGCAGCTTACATAAATAAATAATCAAAAGACTAAACATAAAAACTTACTTTGCTAAACTGAAAGTAAGTCAAAATATATGGAGATGTATTCTAAATGTAAAATAATTTAGTGTTTGACATTATTTTTTATAATGTAATATTACTTTATAGAAAGTATAGGGTTTCCGTAAGTGCGTAGTGTGCCTGGTTGTGGAGACTGTTTGCTGCCAAGAACGCCAGCTTATGCGCGTACTGGCACACGGCTGGGACACGGACTTGTGCGGAGCAGTTAAAGTACATGTGTGTCAACTTGTACGTCATCCGTTGCACCTGAAATGGTGATAAATAATATAGGTATACTAGTGCTTCATTTCGATTTGTAATTTAAGTGGTAATATATATAAATATTTAAAAGAGGTATAAAGATTATGAAATTTTGGAGGTGATTAAATTAAATTAGTGATATGCATTGGTAAAATTTCGAGAAATTGAAATAATCAAAAGTAATACTTACGATACTAGGACGCCACTTTATTGTGTCCGTGAGTATATTGTACGACGTTGGTGATATTGTTCCATTCCGGACATTTTGTGAAACCAAATAAAAATCATATCTGTAAAAAATAATATGGATGGTACAGTCAGCTAATTTATTTAGTACGCAGGTACGGAAATAAAGATGACTCAGTATACAGACAGTATTTATTTATTATTCTTACAAAAGTATAGTAGCTATTGTCACGCCAAAATATATGGTTTTTACTAAAACCTGAACTGAAGCTGAACCTTTTGTAACCATATGTTGGTTCAGTAACCAACGAATGATTATCGTCTCTCTATTAAATTAATCTTTATTTTTATATTTGCGCCTATGTAAAAGCGATATTGGCGCAGTGTCGTGAACGCGTGCGAGTGTGGGATGTGAGGCGGGCCTTAGTATTATGTATAAGATTATTCGAAACAGTCAACAAAGGCATGGTTTCTAAAATTGGGTCTAATAGGGATGATGACAGGGTATGAACATTAATAATCTACAGACCGTCAGTTAGATTAAGAAATATTAGACATATTTTTTTTTTATTTTGTCGTATAATAAAACAATACTTAGATTAAACGAATCAAAGTTTAAGGGAGAAAATGCGTCATTTCTACGTATAAAACGTACCTAGGAGTGACGTCACGCGATAATTGAAATCAATATATCGTCTAAAGTATATTATTCTATTTAAAAAAATAAATAATACGTATCACGTATGTAATGTTTTAAAATAATCTACCAGATGGATATTATAATAAAAATTAGTCATTTAACCTTAGTTCTGACTAGACTTTCAGGCCCACTACTAAGTTGTTATTTATCATGAGTTTATAGGCACAGTTAGATGGATGTGTAAATATAACAATTATTATTAGTAGTGATCCTACACACATCACAGCTCAACGTTCCTGGCAAATGTATAAGCTTGTTACGCATAAAGGAAATGACACAATACTGCAAGGAAAAGCTTTTTGATAGACTGTAGCACAGTGTTTTGTGTTTAATCACAACTTGGCAACCGTTCCACTCAACATAAATTCACATGGGACTATGAGAATGAAAATACCCTTCCTAAGATTTTGCGGAAAATAAAACCATGTCGCAAGGAAGTGTCAAAAGATGCAAATATCTGTGTACTAGTGAGGTCCCAAGGATGTGGACGCCCGCTCGCGTTTTTAGAAATCTTCAACTTTTTGGTTGAATTTTGATCGTAAATATCTCAGACATTTTTCAAGAAAAAAATATCTGGCTTACAGTAAAAAACGTTAATCTTCTCCATTCCAGACTCCGTGCTCCTACTGAAACTTAAAAACCGAATGCGAACTTTCGTTACATTACTAGTATGTAGGTAAACTTAGGCGCCAAGAGACGGAGCCACTAGCGATGTTTTCGAAGTGTATATTAAGTCTTCTTACCGCTCTGGTAGGGTAATAACGTCGTCGACGACAGTGCCAGGCCGTGGATTTTCCCCAAGTCCGCGATCCAAGAATATACGCGTGTTGATACGCTTGGAGACTACAATGAATATCAACTTATATGATGAACCGCCATATATTTCAGCTAACTTTTTCTTTATCTGCTCTACCTACAAACAATATTTATAATATATTATTTTGTAGTACTCGTGTGGGCCTATGAAGCCTAAACGGATAAATAAAAAAAATATCACAAATATTTTAAGAAGAGTGAATCAGTATAAGCTTCTTGAATTTACTTACCTCATGGGTATACACGTAAGGAATTTGTCCATCTCCTACACCATCACGGTATATGAGAATTCTAGTCGGTAATTCCCCTGTAAGTTATTGGAACCTTTTTAATTTTAAATTTTTATTTATTTTATTTATATAGGACTTGCTTCATTGTACACCACAAAACCATATAAAAGAAAGTATACTATTCAGAACAAAATAAGGGCCACCCTGTTTTTTATTTATAAAAAATATTCCTTTTTCAACAAAATGGTCTCATTTTAAAGGTAAATGAATTGCCTTTTATACGACATACGTTACCAATTAATAAAATATTTGTATTTTTTTATACCACGACGGTGGCAAAAATGCACACGGCCCACCTGATGGCCTATGTACGCCTGCAACACTTCGGGCATTACATGCGTCTTGCCAACCCTTAAGAAACCTATTCACTCTCCTCTTGAAGAACCCCATGTTGTAGCCCACTGGGAAAACCACGTATTGTATTAGAAAATAATTATCAAAAAAAGAAAAAAAAAACGCCAGTGGCTCAATTTCTTTGCTGTCATGTGTATTTGACGCTGGTTACATCTGTACCTTTACCCTTCGGTGCAGCTGCAGTTGGTGTTACTGGGGGACTTTAACGCCCATCATCAGGAGTGGTTGTTCCCATACCAGTGCACCGACCATGCTGGAAGGAAAATGCGTAAGCTTGCGCTAACGCTTGGCCTGACCCAGTTGGTCCAGGAGGCCACGAGGGTGCTCGTTGTCGATACACACTGCCAATTGCTTAGACCTTCTGCTAACAACTGATCCAGACTGCTACTCGGCGATAGTCGCATCACCCTTAGGTAGCTCTGACCACTGTCTGGCGAAATCTGTGTCCACACACTCCCCGTCGGATCCGAGTCCCAAAGGACCTCGGTGGATGTGGCGATACAAGTCAGCAGATTGCGATGGGATGCGATCTTTTTTCGCATCCTACCCTTGGCGACCTGTTTGCTTCTCTTCTGATGACCCATCAGCTTGTGCAGAAAATATAGCGGGGGTGCTGCGCCAGGGCATGGCATACTACATTCCATTTTCGCACGTGGCATCCTTCAGTGGGACTCGTCCATGGATCGATGCCGACTGTGGACGTGCCGAGGCGCAAATTAGGCGGCATACTTAGCATGGGCGGATGCCAGACGTAGTAAAGCTGGCGAAATTCATCAAAGGAAGTATGTATATACATACCGGATACATTTCGGAGAGTGTGCGGGGAATTGCACAACTTGATTCCCCCTAGTCCTTTCCATCATCGTACCACAAGACAATCGTTGAAGTGTCACCGATTCATGATAGATGACCCACCCACACGCATGAAGCACGCACGCGCTTCGTATCAAGCTTCCTTGTGCGTACTGCTAAGGAGTGGAATTCTTTGCCAGTCTGTATTTCCTGAAGGGTATAATTTGGATGGCTTCAAGGCCCGAGTGAATAAGTTGCTTATGGGTCAACGTGCTCCATCGTAGGCCACATCATCGCTTACCACCAGGCGAGATAGTGGTCAAATGTCAGTCCCATCTAATATAAAAAAAACCTAAGGTCACAAGTGCGTTGCTGGCTACGATAGGGCATTGTGTGATTGCCCTATCATTTGTGAGGAACAGTCCTCCCTGAAAATGTTGGCGGAGTTAAATGAGTTTGGCATCCACAATTCACACTTACCAGACGTTAGTTGCTACTTCATTCTGGTATTACTTTTTCAGTCGATTCAGCTAATAAATAATGAAAATACATTAATTAAATTATTATTGTTAAAAAAACTAACCGTTTTTTATTCTATATTTCGTTACGGCTGTGCCTATATTGAAGCTCATATGGTTGCTCAATTCTTCTCCAGAACTATGCGAGTTGACAGCAGAATAGAACTGTGTCAAACTAGTATTAAGTGAAGCGACAAATCCGCCAAAACTTTTCTCTTTGCTGCGAGTGTCGTGACATACATCATAGCCTATTATTTGAAAGCTTTGAAGAGGTATATCTACCCTCCACGGCGCACCACCGAGCTGTAAGTGAGACCAGAATATGTTTAATTTCAGTATATTTATTGTGAACCATTGGTTGGTACATCGTACACATCTTAAATGCATAAATAAATATCTGTTCAGTTTCCCTCAAGTAGCTGAATTATATTATTACCACAAATCAACACGGCCGGCACGGAATCAGCACGTTACTCATTGTTCGAGTTTTTTAGTTAAAATATTTGATAACAATAATCAAACATTTTACTAAAAAAATAAGTGTGATCGCATACTAATTTCCTTTTATTTCACCGTAAAGGAACAAAATTAGATATTTACATAAAAAAACACACAAAATTCACAATATCTCGGAAATCGTTAACTTTCAGCCAGATGTATATGAGCTATTACATATAACTCGCCCTGACGGGAATACGTCGAGTTACAAGTCACCTAGTATATAAATACAGGGCAATGCCAGTATACTCGCTTTTTTGAAGAATGTCTTAAAGGAATCAATTACATATAAATTAAATATTTATGCAATGCAAACGCAGTCCTTACCTGTACTATTGCCTTTAGTACATTAAGCTGTTTCTTAGTAGTGAGTATGTATAAAGTTCTTTTAGTTCTTATCAAATAATATGAATACCCCGTATTTATAGAATTACCTTGCAATTAATTTGAATCGCTATTTTAGTAGCAATCGACATAGCGGAGTTGGCTGACATGTTACGAGCACACACGACTTGAGTAGGAACAGCACGGTCCACCGAGCATTTCTTTTTAATTGCTTCATAGCTGGAAGTGGAAAGTATATTTGTATAAAAATACTAGCTTTAGCCGTTCTTAAATTATAATTAGTGTAACTAACAATAACTAACACGACTGTAGCCACTATCTATGTCTATCTATGTCTATCTACTATATATTTGATGCAAGTGGCTACAGAAATAGCGAATACTGTCTGCTTAAATTACAAATCATTTAGCTTCTTTGATAAAAATAGGTACCTATCTCATCGTGTTTCTCAAATTACTCGACCAAAATTGTACATTCTTTTGTTGTGTTTATTTATTTATTTACGATTTACCAACATCTGTTTACACCAATACAATTGTCAAAATACAAATGTGCGTTTTTACAGTAAGTGTAACAAATACTTATAGGTAAATACAGCATTTACAAACATTATTATCCTACATCTAAAACAAACTGGCTATAAATTTTTAACAGGAAGAAAATAGTTGCTGCGCCCCGCGTTGCGCCTGTGCACCAACTAAAGCAAAACACAAGTTCACTACACCTGCATAGGTATAAAGTTCATAGTCCCGGTCAAAAAAGGCATTTTAAAGTAATAAAGCGGGATAAAGTGTCATCGATGGCATGTATGCATACTTCTCAGTTGTGCATTCATTAATTCACAGGTGTCGTGGATAGGATATCATATTATAGAACGCGATTCTTAGAATCGCAGTATCTAAAAAATTTCAAAATAAAAATTGAATACTATTTTGTACTCATCATACATATATCTATTTAACTTCGGTCTGAAGTAATTTTCGATGAATCTTAATTTTACCATCTTTTCATACTGATCATTACAAAAATCTAGAAAACTTTTGACGTAAAAATTGGATCGATGGTGCCTTTTGACGCCATTTCTAATGGTGGACTCTTGACCACTATTTTGTCTATTTTGATCGGGCTATTATTAGCACAAGGAATGTATTAAAGGTAACGGGAACATCGCGGGCGAAGCTGGGGCGCGCCGTTAGTTACGAATAAAATATAGGTAGGTTATATACACTCACCGGTCTACGACTTTACGCGTTAAGACACATAATATCATCGCTGGATTTTTGCGAGCTATAGCTGTCTCGCACGTGTTGGCATATTCTATCGCAGTGTCATACGTTATTAACACTAAAAAAAAAGAATTATTAAGTAGTGGCACACTAGGTGTCTGTAGTGAACTACATCTAAAGAATCTAAACTTACTGAATTCCGGCCTAGGCATACGTAAGCCCATAGACAACGCTGATTTTATAATTAGTTCTATGAAGCCATCAGTTTCACGTCGCAGTTTGTCTGGAGTTATCACTACCCATGATGGGATTTGAGCAATTGCCAGCAGAGGTGTTGACCTGTCATAAAATGTAAATAGTCATGTTGTAAAAAAATAGTCAAAATACTAAGTATACATATTCATATAAGATATTGAGAACTGTTATTTCACCGTATGTTACGTGTCCACCCGTCTGCTGTATCTCCAGCTAGGTACTTTATGTTAGCGCCTTGAATAATAGTTTCGGTAGGTAGTTGGCGCGTTTTAAAGTTCACTAAATTTTTCGATAAAGTAAGTGACCATTGGGTCATTTCCTGTAATTTGAAATATTAATATTATTAATGTCCATATAGCTACTTTGGGTCAGATTTCAGAGGTGGGGGGAACATTATTTTCTGATTTTAAATTCTCAGTTTAAGTGAGAAAAGTGAAGTTATGACATACACACCTTGACGACCTCAGGGCTTTGGCTCAATCTTTTGTTAAATTGTAATAGTTTTTGTATACGAACGTCCGGGCCGACTTTAGTGTAAGTATCAAGGGCTTTCATTAATTTGAAGTTATTCCTCATTTCATCAGTCAATCCAGTTTGCTGGCACAGTTCGGGCACTAGATACACCAGTGCAGGCATCCCAGCGCGAATGTCACGTGGCTTGGATCTGGATATAAGCAAAGGCTGCTGGAGGTCACGGATAGTTATATTATATTTCTGAAAAATAAAAGCCATATTATAATATGTAGGTATGATAATACTTAAACGGAGCTTCACGAACATGCTTCTCATGCATGGTGAGGGTGTGGGTTCAAAATTTGGTAAGCACCTACCAATGTGACTGTAATGACGATCTATGTTAGATGTTTAGAAAGTACTTTCTAAGATTATTTAGACACTACTGACATACGGTGATGGAAAACATTGTGAAGAAATCAGGGCTTATAAAGAGTAAAACATGGTATCCTCTATTGCTTTACTATGGGACTTCTGTATATAGGAAGGATATGTTATAGTTTCCACGTTTGACAGGTAAGTTATAAGGGGATTAGGAATGCATACAAAGCTGGGTCGGTCGGCGAGTAAAATTTCAAAAACTTACTTTTTTATAATATTCCACATACGTAATATTCTCATCTCGTATTTTAAATGTACATTTTGGTGTGGTTTGCCATGCTATGTCATCAATTTTGTAAGTTTTTTTGTTATATACAGTCATAACAATTTTACCTGTAATAAATTAAAAAATAAAAAGTAAACAATCAAAATGACTATCTGTTGCCTGCGATTTTGCTCTCGAAGAAGTTGATTATATTATTATGTTTTACAATTTCATTTAAACTTCATATAATCATATTAAATGAACTCTATACACAACATTATGAAAGGGAGTTAAATAACCAGAATGATATTTTGCTCCTAAAATAATGCAAGTTCCATACATACTTCCAACCAAGTAATATGTGGGCGGAAAAGTACGTCCTAACATAAAAAAACTCATTTTTTGATAAAGTTTGATTTTGTTATTCATTTTTATTAAGTACCATCGAAGGCGATACGTAAATAGCGATCATACATTTTTTGGATACCATTTTAAAAATACGATTTTATTTGGCCTCAATATGGACCTCAGTTTCAAAGATTACTTTTTAACTTCAATCTAGAACTTTGCCATCGATTCATTAACGATTTTGGTAGGAGTTAATGTAAATTATTTTATTTGTACTTACCCACCACATCTTCCAGGAATATTTTTCTAAAATTGGATCCTTTTTTATCAGCATATTCGTTTAACATATGTAGGACGGTATCTACCCGTAAAACCTTAAAAAAGGATATTCAAGAGATAACTGCATAAAACAGCTATTGACAAAGGTAAATACATCAAATATTTCTCATGTTAAATGGTTTATGAGCTTAATTCTACCAGTCAAACTTTTTCGTCTGATACTTATAATGCAGCTATCTAGTTACGAAAAAAAAGATAATATTGTATGGTCATTAAGACTAAAATGCACCAAATATCAGATTGATCGTCAGGAAGGTGGTAAAATTACATTTATTTCACCCAAACGAGCAAATGGGGCAAGTTCAATAAAACCGTTTAGTAAATACACAGAAAAATATACTTACTTTATGCGTTATTTCAGTTACCATTAGCAAACGATCTTCATATTGATTAATAGTTGTTTTATAGCCTGGCCAAATCTGTAGCCGATATTCAGGTATTTCAATCTAAAATTAATTAAAACCAATTAATTCTTGATATATATATATTATTATATATTAAAGATATATATTAAAATTAGATAGGCTCACCCCCTATTACAGTAAGCCTTATTATAGCCACAAGTATCTATGAGCACTGCCTATGACTGCCTCTTTGGCCGAGTGGTCGCAAGTGCGACTGTCGGGCAAGGGGTCTCGGATTCGATTCCCGGGTCGGGCAAAGTATTACAGGGTTTTAAAAAAAAAATCAGTAGTAGCAAGGAGTCTGGAATTGTGCCCGGTGTATGGCAATAGGCTAACCCCTAATTACATGGGGCTCATAACATAAATAGTGAAAAGTGGGTGTTACTTTGTACAGTGGCATAATGTGCACCGCTGCCTACCCCTTCGGGTATAAAAAGGCGTGATATTATGTTATGTAATTCTTGGACATGTTTGACTTAAAATCTCAATTCAAATATTCATACCTTTGCTTCAGAGTCGAAATAGTCGCGGCCCATCAACTGTAAATTCAGAATTTGAAAGCATTTCCTTATTATGATGTTGAAGATCTGAATGTAGTGATAATCACCAGGCGCGACGTCACAAGTCAACTGGAATTAAATTGAGAAATTAGAGAATTAATCCTTATCCTTACTAGTATTATAAATCGGAAAATGAGTTTGTTTGTTAGATGTTTGTTAGTTTCGCTTTCACGCCGTAACTACTAAACCGATTGCTTTAAAATTTTGCAAACATAGATGGCACTGTATGTCATTTAAAACAAGTCAACGAATTACCTATTAATTACTAATTGGAAAACTCTAATCTATAGCGCTACCTACACTTATTCGGTGCACTTTTCGACTCATTTATTTGCTGTTTTTATAAGTCAACGAATTACTAACTGGTATCTATGTAGTAGTTAAGATCTAGTTTGCGTTATGATCTAGTTAGATCACGCTAGGTTTCGTTACCGGCGAAAGTATAGGTTCCGAGCATCCGAAACAAATATATTTTGGTGTAAGCATCTAGCGCTGTGATTGATTTTTTTCGCTCGCTCAATAATAGGTTTGATTAGTCAAGTGTTTTATTTCTAGGTAGATATTACTATCTCAAGTAGTTATTGTTTTTTCGTCGTTTTAAGTCAGTAGTGATGATTCGCCGGTTCTGGCTCATGAATTTCCAGGCTCCAGACCGCCTAGAATGCCGGGAATCAGTTGCACCAAACCTAAAAAAAAAAAAAAAAAAAAAAAAAAAAAAAAAAAAAAAAAAAAAAGGTTTTGGCATGCTCTGATCACGTTTCTGCAATCCTTTTTAGCGTACGATGCGTGGTTCTGGAGTTATGCAAATCGATTGCAAATCAATTTATTGTATCTATTAATTAATTATCTCATTAATTAATTAATGACATAATTAACCCTCATTATGTTTGATTTCCTATGTCATCAATAAAACACAACCGTTCATTTTTAATATTTTATTTCATTACTTTTCTACAAAATATGAGTGGAACATCTTATCCACGAAAATATCATTGTACAGTGTGTTTCCTGTAAATATGTTCGTAAAACTATTCATTGAACATCCTTGAAACTTAAATAGCAAATACATTACGCAATATTCACCACAAACTGAAGTCCAATCATTCTGAATCCTATCAACATTCCAGTCCCATCTCTTACAATTCCTTTTCAAAAACTGAAGATGATATCGCTCAGGTGTTCGTCCATATGAATCAAAATATTGACCGATGCCATTCACATCGATATGTACAGCTACCCAGTGTGAGCCTGGTTTATCATCCGCATCCAAATTGGATATTATATACGTTGGTACTTGTGTATACATAGGTAGTCTATTAGCAGCATAAACATTATTTTCTAGACTGGGATGAATCTTTTTCATATGTTTTTTTAATTCTAGTGTATCCATGATATCACTGTTATTAGCAGTTTATTGCAGTACCAATCTATTCAATGGTTGTCATAGGAATGTTCAATTATAGTGATTTGTAAATCGCATACTGATCTTCATGTCTGTTGCGACGTGAGATAAGTTTGTTGACTCATACAGTTCCGTTGTACTTAGGAATTTACTTCAGATAACGTGGTCATAGTAATGTGTAATTAATGTGTAATTAAGATAGTGATTTGTGGGAGTCACAAAACATGTTCATGCCTGTTGCGACGTGAGATAAGTTTGTTGACTCATACAGTTCCGTTGTACTTAGGAATTTACTTCAGATAACGTGGTCATAGTAATGTGTAATTAATGTGTAATTAAGATAGTGATTTGTGGGAGTCACAAAACATGTTCATGCCTGTTGCGACGTGAGATAAGTTTGTTGACTCATAGAGTTCCGTTGTACTTAGGAATTTACTTTAGATAACGTGGTCATAGTAATGTGTTATTAATGTGTAATTAAGATAGTGATTTGTGGGAGTCACAAAACATGTTCATGCCTGTTGCGACGTGAGATAAGTTTGTTGACTCATAGAGTTCCGTCCGAGATAAGAATTGTGCTATATAAGATCGAACAGTTGCAGTCATGCAGTCAGTTTATGGTCATTTGACCACAGTGGATTGTATACGTCTACCAATACTACGTTTGTGTTACCTACTTCAACGCATCAATGATCATGGAGGTAAGTGTTTATTCTATTGACAAACTTACTTGTATTTCTGTTGTTGTTTTCCTAACGTGTGTGTGTGCGTGAGTCGGATTAAGTGTAAACAAATTGATATTAACGTGATAACTCTGTTGTTGCAGAGATCATTCAGCTTCGTCGACGATAATGAAAATACCTATAAACAGTATTACTACTCGCCACTCTCTCCCAACACGAAGAAGAGAGAGATGACATCGTCGTTAATAACACAGACGATGGAGGAAAAAGGAAATCGCAACCGATTGATCAATTTTTTGAAGTGACACCAAAAATAAAAAGGAAGAAGCAGCTATCGTCGACTGTGGCACGAGCTGCTAGAGATGGCGTATCATACATCTCTACAAATTCTGACGACGGAGACCAAGCGACGCATCTCATAAAAATTGAAATGTATGATATGAAGAAACTATCCAAGATTCCAATTAGTGATCACTGGAAGCACGCTACCACGAGGATTAAATATTACGTAAAGAATAATAAGGATAGCATCTACGACAACACAAACGGTCTCGTATACAATATTACAAAGACAATAGCAGAAAGTGAAAAAGTTAAAAAATACTTTTTTAACAATGACACTCATTAGTGGATTCGTGAATGTGATTCTGTTTACTTAAAGTACTTCTGTGTAATCATTAGATCCAAGGAGCTGTCGTCTTGTGATGCTGAGAGAAAAACAATAGCAGAAGGAAGAGATGAGTGTGGTATACGTGTACAGAACACTTCATGGAAAAACAAAACTACAAAACTGATTGGAGAAGAAAAAGTGAAGAATATGCAGTATCCAAGAGCTGAATATCCATTTTTCAGTTCAAAATCTAGACGGTTGATGAGTTTCGAAAATTGGCCTCTCGTTATGCAGCAGAAGCCCGAAGATCTTGCAGAAGCCGGTTTCTTTTATACTGGCCATGGAGACAGGACTAAGTGTTTCCATTGTGGTGGTGGTTTAAAAGATTGGGAAGATGACGATGATCCTTGGCAGCAGCATGTTCAGTGGTTTAGTCAATGTGCTTATATGAAGTTTAAACTCGAACAGTGTTTTGTGTAAGATTAAATAAGGGAGGTATATAAAGAAATAAAAAATATTACATTGCATATAATTTGTTTTATTAATTTTATAATATTAGCTTTAGTTACACACACACAAAATGCATTAAGCATAACACATATATCTAAAACACAACACATATTATAATCTTAACTACTATAGTCTACAGTAACATTTCTATTTTTATCTATTTCAATAATATTATCAAACTCAGCATAAACAATACAGTTAATTGTTTGTATTAGTGAGGATTCAAATCGTACTTCTAATCTTACACTACCATGTTTTATGAGATTCCAATGGGCTGATGAGTTAGCTGATAAATCAGGAGTTAAATCAAATGCTAAAAGACAGTAACCTTTAGCATACTGTTCACGAGAGATTGCATTTCCCTCATTAAGAAAGTGAATACCTGTCCCCGAGAATAGAGTATGATATGCTGATGTAAATATATTATTATTAAAAGATGGTTGCAAAGCTTTGGAAGGTATTTGTTGACCATCAATATATAAACTGAAAGAGTTAATACCATAGTTTTCAAAATTAAATGGATTTTTAGTAAGTGAACCATTAAACGCGGAATTATTCACAAAACCAATAATACATCTTTTGGGTACCTGTCCTAAGAATATATTATCAAGAGTTTTTCCTTGAACACCCGATGGAATTGTTAAAACTTTAACTTCAGCACGAGTAATAGGATATTTAGCAGTGGTAGAAGCTAAAACTTTCTGATGTGCGAGTAATACACTTGGATTAATTCGTGCTCTTCGAACAATAAGAGTTGCATCCGTAATGCAAACTTTAAACTTTACATCATTTGATCCAGCAATTAAATTAAAACTCTCTCTTGACCGAACTAATTTTACACTCATTTCAACGCCATTAATTAAAAATTTATCTTGATTGAAAATATCACCATGAAGATGACCAATCATTTCTACTTCCCTGCTTTCATTAACTAATTCCTGTCTTTTAACAAATCCAATGTTTTTACCATCTGTGGAATCCATTTTTCCTGCTGTATCATCATACCAAAGACTACAAGTAAGATGAGATTGTTTAGCAGCAGGAGCATAGTTTAAAAGGGTTTCCATGTATGCTCGATAAGCATAGGTATTATTAGGTGGTGATACAAGTTTTTGGTTTAAATAAATATCGAGTTGACTAAAAAGTGAATGCAACCAATTATTTACAGGTGCTACTGCTGTAGCTGATATCAAGTTTGTTGAATCTTGATTTAATACTTTTGCCTTTATGTGGAGTAATGTATGAGACAAATCTATGTAGTCATCGCCTGTTCCAGGAACTTGAAACTCGATAGGTCCATCATCAGCAAGAGATGAAATTGGTTTATAGTGAATCCACAATCCATTTTCAATGCTTGTTTGTGTAGACGGTAATGCAAACAAATCTAATTCTGACTTAACGCACTCACAAGAATGATTATGAAGGAAAGACATACTTAATTTGAAAATATATCTTTGATGTTTTTTGGTTTTAGACCAAGTTTTTTCGTAGCTTTCACTTTCGCTGTTAGTGGTGGAATGAATGAGGCCAATCGTTTTCTTTTAGTTATATACCCAGACCCTGTCATGTTAAATCGATCAATTTTGTCATCAGCCTTTCGTTTTAAGTTCGTACTAACTTGCTTTAGACGATTTTTTATTGAGGTTTCCATAGGACGGGCTTGAACCATATCTGATAAAAGTCCTACTCCAGCATTTAATGCCTCCTTACCAACCACTCGAACACCACTTGAAAGTAAAGGTAAAACTGATCTAAATAACCCTCCTAAGAAGCTCCCAATACCATGACCACGTTGGTATGGTGAACCCTTATAAATTACTCCAACTCCTGATCCAGCTTGATGAGAATAATAATTTTCGTATGG